GAACACGCGGCACATGTTCTAACCACTCAGCCATTTGCCCATATATGGAAAGCGTTATGGTAATAATAATGGTAATATTAACCCTTTCCTTACAAGAAAATATTCGGCATTCATTGGTAGAACATCAAGTACTGTTGAAATTTATAAAATATTTGTCTTAAAACATATTTTTTTAGGAAGACACATTTCTCAAGTCCACTAACTTTTATCGCTCTTTCTACTATTGATGTAGATGTGGCCTTTCCTTCCGTAGAAAAAATTGTCCAAATCGTGTAACTACATAATTGTACATCACGCAAAAGGTTTAATATCTAAAATACACTAAACAAATTATGTTTCTTTTTTCCAGGTTTTCCGATAAGACGTTTAGCCATCTTGACATCATTTCGTAAGAATCACCGAAAAACCTTTTGATTTATTCACCTAGAAAGAGAACAGGCAAAAATTGTTTTGTGTCTGACCCACTGTGTCTTCCCAACTGAACAATAGGGAGACGTAAAAGATCACCCACACCTTCAGTAATAGATCACTTCCAAAGATACAACGGTTCAAATCTTAATCTAACAAGTAGACAATTTTGCTATTACACCCGGTGTGTATATATATATATATATATATATATATATATATATATATATATATATATATATATATATGGCATCTCTGCTATTTTTATCATAATCTTTTGATATTCACTAATATGTTTCCGTATAATACAATCAAATGAGGAGATTTGAAATGCACAGTAACAATGAAAATCAGTGATTTTCACTGCTAAAATTTCTAATTTGTTTGTATTATACCGAAACGTATTCGTAAATTTGAAATGATTATGATCATAATATTTGTAATTTATTCATTCAGACATGCCTAAAAGAGAATTTGCTGCCTATATACACAAATTATATATATATATATATATATATATATATATATATATACATATATATATATATATATATATATATATTGAACAATAAAAATATTAAAAATCAAAATTAAAATCTTCAGACACACTGGGTTGTATATTAATATTCCTTCGTTTTTATTATTATTTCATTTAGATTCCTCGACCAGTTTCGACCAACATGGCCATCATCAGGAGAATAATAATTTTCTGCTTGCTGATAGCAGTGAACTACAGAAATGAATGTCTTGATGGAGAAAATGAACTTTTGTCTGTAGTTTTCATTTGTTTTTATATTTTTTTAACATGAATTTTGGTTAGTCTTTGTGTTGGTCGAACAGTCTCTTTTAAGTTGTTATTTGAGATAAGATCTGGATTCATGGTGCTCTGAATTCCCTTGGTCATTTTGACAGTTTTATTGGTTCCTGGAAAGGGGGGTGTCTCTGTTAAGTGTGTACGTGTTATTTGATTCATAGGGAGTGAGTGAGTGTGATGTGTGTAAGCGTGTATATGACTATGTGTGTGTGTTATCATTTGGCTCATTAGGGAGTGAGTGAGTATGATGTATGTAAGTTTGTATATTCGTGTGGGTGTGTGTATAAGTATGAAGCCTCAACACTTCCGTAAGCATGCCTGTCTTGTATGGGTGAGAAATATTGGTAGGTTTTGATTTGTGTATATATATATATATATATATATATATATATATATATATATATATATATATATGACCTCGCAGATATTTTCGAATCTTAAAAGTGACTTCCCGTCGTGCACTCAGGTGTACTCAAAAGTGTATCCCAAAACTGACATAAGTACCTTGCTGATCTGTCAGTAAAGACATCCAAATAGTCGGCATTAGATTGACAATTTCCATACCAAGCATATACGGCACAAAATAGAAGAAACTCCCCCGAATATCTCCTAGAATTGATCTACCTCCCCTTTTCCTAACATGTCTTTCCAACTCCGAATGCTCAACCCTTTTGCTTTCAAAGCAATTGCAACAATCAAAAAGTAACTTTCCGTAGCAAGACCAATTCTCTGTCACTTTTTCTTTAACAAGATTCCTGAAATGTTTCCTTGTTTTGTTCCTGTGGCACATACTAAAACCGAGCTCTCCTTGAAACAGGTGCTTAGGTAATCTATCGTCTCCTGGGCAATTGAATGCAAATGAGCATTTTCTCTATGTTCTGTGATTTGACCTGTTCCCAAAGAACTACGACTGAAGCAAAAGCGTGCCACTTGATGTTTACTATATGGCAGGATTACAAGAAATTTGGATTACTAGAGGTGTACCTGTTAAATGAATTAGCAGCAGTGAATAAAACGTTTGGATCGGACGCTGTTTGAATGAAAAGACGACCACACTAAATAACCTGAACTTGAACTTGAAAGTAATACAAATACAATAAAGAAAAAGACATTTCTTTTTGTCAATTGCCGTTTGCATTTATAAACAGTCGGGTTGCAGATCGCCTAGATAAATCTATTTGTTAGAATCGATATTCTTTATGTTCAATAGATAATCGAAGTGATCTTGTCTCGATCTGATTTAATGAATAAGCAAAGAAAAAATAAAAGCTTCGTTGTACGTTTTTATTTTTGTATCACTTCAATCATTTGAATTCATCAAAAGTCAGGCATTTCTTGCAATTTCATTAAGAGATTTGTCCTTTCACTTCAGGATTTTTATTTTTTCATTTACCATGAATTTTTATTGTAGTTCGTCGATGCGTTCATTTAAAAGCTTTACATCTGTAGAATGTAAACTGTACGAGCTAAGATACTTTGAGATCAACTATGATGTTCTCCCTTTTTTAATAGATAGAGATCAAAAGACTTAAATAGATAAATAGCGTCTAAAGAGATAGATAGATTGTTAGATAGCGTCTAAACAAATATATATATATATATATATATATATATATATATATATATATATATATGTATGTATAGACAGATAGATAGCGTCTAAATAGATAAATAGTTAGATAGCGTCTAAACAGATAGATAGATAATTAGATAGATAGCGTCTAAACAGATAGATAGATAGATAGCATCTACCCCCTACACACATATATATATAGATGGATAGATAGATAGCGTCTAAACATATAGATAGATAGATAGCGTCTAAACAGATAGACAGATAGATAGATAGATAGATTGATAGATAAAGTCTAAACAGATAAATAGTTAGATAGCGTCTGAACAGATAGATAGATAGATAGTGTCTAAACAGATAAATAGTTAGATAGCGTCTAAACAGATAGATAGATAGATAGTGTCTGAACAGATAAATAGTTAGATAGCGTCTAAACAGATAGATAGATAATGTCTAAACAGATAAATAGTTAGATTTCGTCTACACAGATAGATAGATAGCGTCTGAACAGAGATAGGTAGATAGATAGTGTCTTAACAGATAAATAGTTAGATAGCGTCTAAACAGATAGATAGATAGATAGATAGATAGATAGATAGATAGATAGATAGAAACAGTATATATCTAAACATATATATATATATATATATATATATAGATTGATAGATAGCGTCTAAACAGATAGATAGATATATAGATAGATAGCGTCTAAACAGATATATATATATATATATAGATATAATATAGATATTCAACCTAAGAAAGAGCGTAATATCTGCGAGACTTCAGGTGAACGGTACTCATTGATTCAGACACTGAATAGGAAACAATGCTGAAACTGATATTTAAGATAGATGATAGCTGGCCAATCGTATTCGAGGATCCACGTCTACTGTGTGGCTAGCCAAATCCTATTGTAGACTATCGCTCAGGCACATTTGTGTTTGTTCAACACCCAGAGAGCCCACCTGAAGTTTATTCTGAGACTATACTGAACAGAAAGAGCGTGTTATATAGAATGATCAACAATCTGAACAACACCAGCACACTCACACCTTCGGTCAAGATGACTTATGGCTTGGTGTTAGCACATCTATCGACGGCCCCAAGTGTTCCGACTAACCTCACAAGGCTTGCGTCAACCCGTGGTATGGTTTATCAGGTACTTTCAAATCTGGTCTCATAGTCAGAAAGCGAATGTTCTAACCACTGGGCCACGCGCCCATAGATAGATAGATAGATTAAAGACATTTGACAGTTTGGAATTCATCATAGCGCAATGGCTATTATGTCTTTGTTTTCATCTTTAACTCAATTCAATTGTTCTTAACACATCGAAAAATGAAGGACTTGTTAAATGACCACGCTTCTAGATCATTTCACATTTAAAGCAAGGCATTAATGCTGATAATACAGTATTTTTTTCTGTCTTAAAAATAAGATCGAAAAAGGCATCCAATCAGTTGTTAACTGGAGCAAGAAATGGCTTGTAAAATTTACTGCCTCCAAGTCAACACTACTATCATCACAGAGAAACATTTTTACTCTCAATTATCATGGCTGATGATAACATTTAGCAGAGCAACAAATCCTACGTTTTCCAGTGACATTAAGTGAAGTGATTATATTGAATCAATTGCTAAGTCTGCTCCTATCAAATTTGATTCATTCTGTCCAGTCAGAAGTCATCTTGCACATGTATGAATCTACCATTCATTCGCGCGCTGAATATTGCTGACACATCTGGTCTGATACACCGTTTTTATATGTCTAAATTCCAGACCAACACCGTGGAAGGGTCTGCAATGTTATCGCTTCTTATCTGGCATCTTGACTTCACTCACTTTCCCACCGCTGTCACTTGTCTACTTTCTGCATTTTCTATAAATATTTTCATGGCAATTTTTCTAATGAACTCTCGTCTTGGTAGCTCGACGACATGAATTTACACTTACAACTAGATTGGCGACTAGGTCTAATCGCTTTACTGATAAAATAGTTTGATGTAAAATCTATTCTAAAAATTTCTTTTGATTTCTTGCATCCTCGACATCTACAATCTTCAAATTGTCTTATTGAACCATGGTTCTTTTATTTTTCTCTTTCCTTCTCTCATTCTAATCCACTCCTTATTTGTCTTAGTGGCATTTTCTCCATACTTGGAGTGAAATGGATTTAAAAATACAGGCTACAAAGCACGTAGTATCAATGGAGACAGGTGGGCAGTAATATTGATGATGTCAGAATATGAATAGGGAACGATGCTGAAACTGATAGATAGATAGATAGATAGATAGATAAATATGAACGGACTGAGATAGACAGATAGCTATGAAGAGACTGAGATAGATAGATAGATAGTTATGAACAGACTTAGATAGATAGATAGATAGTTATGAACAGACTTAGATAGATAGATAGATAGATAGATAGATAGATAGATAGATAGATAGATAGATATGAACAGACTGGGATAGATAGATAGATATGAACAGACTGGGATAGATAGATAGCTATGAACAGACTGAGATAGATAGATAGATAGTTATGAACAGACTTAGATAGATAGATAGATAGATAGATAGATAGATAGATAGATAGATAGATATGAACAGACTGGGATAGATAGATAGATATGAACAGACTGGGATAGATAGATAGCTATGAACAGACTGAGATAGATAGATATGAACAGACTGGGATAGATAGATAGCTATGAACAGACTGAGATAGATAGATATGAACAGACTGGGATAGATAGATAGCTATGAACAGACTGAGATAGATAGATATGAACAGACTGAGATAGATAGATATACAGATATGAACAGACCGAGATAGATAGACAGGTATAAACAAACTGAGATAGTACAGAGCCGATTTCTCAATCAAATTAATCCTGTAAATTTAAACGAAATAATTCTATAAATCTTAAAGAACATAATCCATTGCGAGACCTTATGAAATCGTTTCATAAAACCAACAAACAAACAGATAACACAGAGCACATTACTTGAATACTTTCGGATTTTGATGACAAATAAATACAACACCAATTATAGCATACTAGATGACAGAGCACCGTATAGTTAGTTGAAACATAGCGGGAAACGATTACGCCGGGTCTGGTATTATTAAAAACTCTCAATTACCCCGAGAATTTGCACTGCTTTCCACAGGCAAAAGTAACCCGACAGGCTACAATACAATTAGCGGAGAGGCCCCCGAGTTCTTGAGGGCTATCCTGCGGTAGTTTGGTAAAAAAAAAAAAATAAGTATTCAGTAATATTTCTCCTGTACGAGACTTTCTGAACGCCATTGACAGCATTCAAACATTCACAATATTCTGCATAAATTGCACAAATAATTTATTTGGTGGTGATGTTTGCGTTTCTTAAAATAAAAAAAATATTATATATTGATAGTGTTGCCTCTCGTCTTCAAGATAAGCTACAATTCCTGACAAAATTCTTTTTTTAAAATGACAGCTGACAGCTGTCGCAAAACTACCAAAAGTGATTTTTTGAATCAAGTTAATTAAAATTAAGTTAAGTGCTTTTAATGTCATTCAGCATAAACAACAGAAGGCACATTTTGCTCATTTTTGGCAAATATCGATTGATTCTGCTATTATGTTGATCGAATTTATATATATATATATATATATATTATATATATATATATATATATATATATATATATATATATATATATATATATATATATGCATCATATTCTCATTCAAAAAATGCAACCAAAACTAAATAAAGCTAACTTTGGGCATAGCAACGTCCTTTTAAAATATCTATAAAAACAAATTTTTGAGATACTCAAATTCTAAAAATAATTAAGAAAAAATTAAATATAAAAATATTCTCCATGTAAATTGACTATAAATGAGCGGGTTTCATGCGCATTTACAAAAATAAATTTCACAACTATCAATTACATTCATTTCATATTCTTAGCCATGCACCCCAAAAAATGATCTTCAATGAGGTTATAAGTACTTGGGTAAAATAAAAGAAATGAAAGAATCTACGGCGTTTTCTTTAATGAAATTAATATCAAGATTAAGAAGTTGATTCATGAATTCAATTGATCACTATATATATATATATATATATATATATATATATATATATATATATATATTAAAAATGTGACGTCACCCCGTGACTGTCTGCCCCATGTCCTGTCGTCCCAATGTGACTCCTCGTCCTGTGACGACCAATGTGACTTTAGGGTTTGATTTCTAGTCTAACCTACCCACGTTGTGATTTGATCTTAGGTAGACGAAATTAATCAGTCGCCGGGCCGTAATGCAAGCCGAGTTCAAGCAAAGGTAACACCACACAAGTATATGCAAAAGAAAATAAAGTAACAACTCGAAAAGTTCAAATGTGTTAAAAAAAGAATAACAAGTATTTTTATATCTGGTTGCTGAATACAGGACTGCATCTTTCTCCCAAGCCGCTAATATGAATTCGTGATACTTTGTGTTTGTTAGGCGAGTCTTACCATCTTAAGTTGTCTTTTTAAGAAACTGTTTTTTTTTTTTTTGTATCTTCAGGCGATATTCGGCCTTCTTCAGGTGGTTGGAATGTCGAACTGAACCCTTTATTTCGCTCACCGGGTTAGACTATTCTAGTTCCATGTGCCATGTTTGATGGATGTCAGTTATCAGTTATCTCGTGTTAATTTCCCTCTGAAAGTTCTCCACTGCTCATAGAACTAACACTCTTTGGGTCCTGTCACTGGATCAAACCAACGTCTTTATCCACTGTGCCATGTGTCCTTGAAGACAATATATATATATATATATATGTGTGTGTGTGTGTGTGTGTGTGTGTGTGTGTGTGTGTGTGTGTGTGTGTAAATGAAATGGATTAAATCCGACATATTTTTAATGCATTTGTTTAAACGTTTCCTGGAAAATCTGATACTCTCAGGTCGAATAAAGGGAAAAAAAGAGACAAGGGAAAGCAATGTATGACATATCTGGCGGGCTTAAGCAAATGGATGGCAGAACGTGGTCTGGTGGAGGTGTCAGAGGGACTAAACTTACTGAGAGCAACAAAGTATAGTGATGGGTAGAGAGCCATAATTGCCAACGTCCTGAAGGGACACGGCTCATAAAAAGAAAGAATTTGATTAGCATCTCTGTTTTTATTTATTTATTAAACAGTATATGTATTTATTTACATTCAACAGCCTGACTATTCAAGAAAACTTGTTAAGAATAATATTCGCTCTCCGGCAGGATTTGAACCTATGCCCTTTAGAGGAAAGGGGCATTAAACCTGACTTTTCTTAGACCAACTCGGCCAAGTAAAACCGCCTCTCTAAGCAAAGCCCCAACACTGCTTTTGAACCCATGTCTTCATAGTAGATGTAAATAAATATTTTGTTTAATAAATACATAAAAAACACAGCCTCTACGAGTACACGAGAATCCATTTAAAATAACGTTTAAAAAATGGATTAAAAAATATTTCGGATTTAATACATTTCTTAAATATTTCTCTTTGTTTACGTTAGGACAAAAAAAAAAAAACAGAACAGATGTATATTTCGAGAATCGGGAAGATATGTGTTCAAAATAATTATTCGGGTTTTATTTGAGCAGGAATTTCTGCTTGGCCAAGTGATTTAAAGCTCGACTATTGAAAGACGGCATTCCCTAAAGGGACGCAGCTTCGGATCCTGTCGAAGAGAGCATATTGTTCTAACAAGATTCTTGGAATATTTTCGCCGATAGATATAAATATACTGTTTAATAAAAGAAAATAGAAACAGAGCATACACTCAAATAATGTATATGTTAAGAATAAATTACATGTGTGTGTGTGTGTGTGTGTGTGTGTGTGTGTGTATATATATATATATATATATATATATATATATATATATATATATATATATATATATATATATATATATAAAAAAGATTACTTTAATATTAACTTTTTCTTATTGTTTTCTCCGACTTCGAAGTTTCTCGGTAATCGCCATAGTTCAAGTGATCCTGTTTTTTTTGTTTTTTTTTAAATATTTCCAATTTTTCCAATTTATTCCGACATTTTGTTTTCAATCCGTTTTGTACACGTGAGCATTCATGAATTTAATTTTTTTTTTTTTACACACGCACGTTCATAAATATTTTTGATATTGTGCACTATATATAAAAAAAACTGCTGTTTTTTATGTGTGTGTGTGTGTGTGTGTGTGCGTCTGTGTGTATTGTCTGTGTGTGTGAACTTTCGTATTGTTGACCGATGAAATAAATTTGAAAAAAATAACTATTTTTTCTAATAATGTTTAGCCTGGGCAAATGCCAAAGACCCACTCAAGGTAGAGAGTACAGAGTAAGAACACAGATGATGTCGATATGTGACTAAGATAATTAGGTTTAATATTAATATTATAGCGATCGAGGAAGCATCATTTTAGGAGTCTGTTCGAGTGGAACTTACATCTCAACAATGGAATACCAAGGGAGTAAGGGTGTTTCGCTATAATGGGCGTGGCACAGCCTTAGCCCTGGTGGAACTAGGGAATGTAATTCATCTGAAAACATTTGATGGAAAATAGCGATATTGCAGCAGGGGGCGCGCAACGTTACATTTATGTCAAATCAATTCCAGGTTGTGGAAAATAGTTCATCCGACACAAAGACGAAGGGACATTTGATTTTCATATTCTATCAAGACTAGAAATTAAATACTGAGAAACTCTTGCTTATATATGGAAGTAATACTCCATTTTGGGCTTATAAAGGTAGAGAAAAGCAGGAGGATTCGGGTATTTACTAGAGCGATACAAGGAACAGACCATTTTCCCAGCATCTTTAGTGACCTACAAGAACGACCGTTAATCGTGATAGATGAAAATTCAATATTCGTTCTATGAAGATGGAATATCAGTATTTTTGTTTTCAAGGCATTGAATGTGACTCGGCAGTTTTTGCTACTAAGCTCTGGTCACCTAGAGTTTTGAAGCTGCATCAATATACCGTTGTATTGTTAGCATAGATATTCACAAATATTTGGATTATTTATGTTAAATAAAAAGAGCGTTGGACAAAGAAGCGAACATTGAGGGACGTGTGCGTTGATCCTTTCGGCTTTGAAGGGGCCCAGTTAACAACTACCTTCTGGGACTAACACGTTAATAATTGGGAAGATAGTTCCACTGATTCCATATCTAAAGGGCTTACATAACTACATGGTAAATATCTTTGAAATATCTAATGTAGTAGGCCGTGAGATGTATTTATTATTATTATTATTATTATTATTATTATTATTATTATTATTCCTTTGATTTCTGGTGTATACTCATTTCTTTCCGGGTCCCGTCCAGAGACCTGAGGTTAGAAATTGCATCATGACATTTACCATTGTCCAATTAAAGAAAAACACAAAAACACGTTTTACATAGATAAAACCCTTCTTAAGGTGTGGGCTGTACTTGTGAGAACATTTTTTTTGTATTTCGTTAAGGCATGGGCTTCCAGGAATCCCTCCAATTAGTCTACAGGAAACTTTCCCAACCAATTCAAGGGCTCCATTTATAACAAGTATTGTTGATCTTCCCATGTGCCACATTTTTTTCGATTTCAAGGTGTATTTTGCCATTGTTTCTTATCTGGTCGGTAGCATTTGTCTTTGCTTTCTTTTTCATGTATTTTGCAGCTTCAGTCGGTGTATTGTGCTTTACTTGCATATCTGCACCCATTTGAAACTCCATTTTGTTGGCTTCCTTTATTATGGGATAAAGACGCTTACTACTTTCTACTAAGGGATCCGACTGAAAATTGTTGATTTACTCATGTGCAACATTTTTGAGATTTCGATT